AGTCCATTTGAGAGAAGAAATGGATGACTGTGTTGAACCTGCGGGTTTGAGAAAGGAAGAGAAGGAATTGGACGATGGATTTGAGTGTGGGAGTGAAGCCGCATTTGAGTAAAGTTTGAATAGGTGGGAGTTCTGGAAGACTGTTACGATAAGAAGAAGAAGCCGACGAAGAAGAAGAAGAGAAGCATCGGCTGAGTTTAGTGTGGAAGAGAGTAGAGAACAACATTATCATAGTTCAGTGGATTTTTTTTGAATTTGGGGAACGTTGTGGCTGCTGCTTCTGCTACTCCCCTCAAGTGTTTAGTGGGAGTGTCTTTAAAAACGCAGACCAAATGTGCAGGAGTTGGTACAATTCATCAGGTGAATATGCCAGTGCAGGCATTTGGTGGTACGTCAGTATTTGGGCCAAAATGGCACTTTTTTTTTTCTTTTTTTTTGTCTGAATCACGAAGTGGTCCTGGATAGGCCCCAACTATGGATGGCACCTTTAAGCCTTAACCACAATGGCACTTCGTTTTTCATTACACCCAATTCATGCTCTCGTGAAAGACTTCCACTATACAGAAATAGCATTATTTTGCTATTCTCGATCAATAATTCTATAACATGCATGATAATACTTTTATATAATATAATATTATTGGTCGGAGATAACAAAATAGTGTTATTCCCGTATTATAACTACGTTTTTCTCCCTCGACACCCATCAAAATTTTCCTTTAGTAAAATTATATTTACACATATTTGTAAAATTACTACACTAAGTTGAATGATTTTATTTACAAACTAACTTCTTCGCACATACAACAATTTTATTCATTTGTGAAATTAGTACACTGAGTTGAATTATTTTTATTTAATACTAGCCTCTTCACACGCGCTTCCGCGCTTGCGAGAGGCTTTATTTTATTTTATTTTTTTAATTTTTAATTTATTTTAGAATTAAATAAGATAATGGGTAGTTGTGTTTCATCAAAATAGAATCAATTATCTTATTTTTCTTTTAATTTTAATTTTTTTAAATATGAAAAAGTATGCATTTAACATATTATCCTCATTTAATTAATAATTTCAATTCTTAATGTTTGCATTAACCAAGGACATTTTCTAGTATTTTGAATGTTTTACTATTCTCTGTCTTTTGCTTTATACAATGGAAAAATCAACACAGGACTTGACTTGGGGACTTGTGTTGCAATTATATATATATATATAGGGGGCGGATCCGTGGCACCATATTTTTGACACAAGTTTTGACACAATTTTTGGACCATTAGATTACTCCACTTTTAATGGTTCAGATTAAATCTGACATAATAAATAGTTTTAATGTTTTAAATAAACAATCATTAATTTTTTTTTCTCTCTCATAAAAGTAAAATAAAATTATTCTCTCTCCTCCCTTTTTTGGACACAAATTTTGACATAATTTTTGGGCCATTAGATTACACCACTTTTAATGGTTAAGATTAAACCTGACATTGCAAAACAATATTTTTTTTCTTTAATTAATATTTATACATTGGCATTAAAATTCTGATACCATATTAATTAAGAATTCATTCTCTCTCCTCTCATTAATTATCTTTAATTAATTCATTCTCTCTCTTTTTTCTAAAGAGAATTGACACCTCCTCCTCTGCCTCTGCTTCTTCTTTCTCTCTCTCTCATCCCATTCTCATCCCCAAAGCCACCCTCACCACCAGCACCACTCCAAATTTTGACATAATTTTTGGGCCAAAGTCTGGGTTCTGTTCAGACTTCAGAGCTGTGAAGCAACTGAAACTAGGTTCTGTTCATAGTTTCCCGCAGAGTTAGCTTCCTGTGAGTTAAAGTTTTATGATTTTGATGTGATTTCAATTATGGGTACTTTCATTTTTGTTATTTATGCTGTTGTTTTGGATTGGTTTTTGATGATTTTCATGCTAACTTTATATTTGCAAGGGACATGAATTAGTTTCTGTTTCATTTTTAAACTCAACTGGTCAAAGCTGAGAAATTTTATGCTTGCAATTATTGGACTGATAGTTTCCTTCAGCTTTTATTGGCTCTCAGCTAGTATGCTTGTAAATTTTGATATTTTTCAGTATTGTTTATACCCAAAATGAACAGCCAATGAGAACGAGACACGTGGAGGAAATCGAGCTTGGTCAAGGACGCCCTTGCCACCCTACCTACCGATCGCTCCATTAGGGCAACACACTCTTCTGAGACACGTGGCATGCTCCCAGGCGACGTCCACAGTCCCACATCGAAATTATCAACAAAGTGCACACCTCCCAAGGCCTATAAAAGAGGCCAACTACCCCAAAACAAAGGTAATCAGAACTTACGGCATGCAAGCCTATTGATCTGTCAGTTGAACTTTCTAATCCCGAACTTACTTAAGCATCGGAGAGCCTTCAGCCGGTACCACATCGGTGCCTTGGGTCTTTCCGAGCGTTTGCTCATATTGCAGATCACGCTCCCTACCGAGGCATTGAGGATACCGAAGGTATAAAATTACTAAGTTGACCCCCTAAGTCAGAGAACCACTTTTTGGTGTCAACAAGTATTGTTTCTGAGGCTAGCTTATTGTGTATGCTCAATGATATGCTTAAATATCTATTTCTAGTTGTTGGTGATTGAGAATTCTATTGCTAATGTGACATTTTGTTCTTGCAGAGGTTGAGTTCAAAAATCAAGTATGATGCTTTGGATAAATTAAATGAAGAGCTTGTAAGCATCTTTTATATCTCTTATTTCAGAATCAATCTTGCTTTATTCGTGCTGTGCAAATCCCATATTATGTTCTGTCAACATCTAAGGTCTCGTTAAATGGTGCAGAGACTACAAGCAACTAAAGCCAAACAAATCTAATAGCATGTAAAATTAAGGTTATGCACCTGTATTTGAAGAAGGCACAAAGTCTCAATGTGGCAGTCATGGTGATATGCAACTGTCAAATGAGAAGAGATGCTATTGAGTCTTGTGGTTTTTTTATAGTCGTGATTTCATGAATCAGTTGTATCATGTTACGATCTATAACTTTTTCAAATTGGTATCAGTCTGAGGAGAGATGCTATTGAGCATTGTTTGCATGTGAAACTCTTCGAACTATAACCGTGAGCAAAATTTGTAAATGGGAACACTGAATTGTTGGTTCAAAGTTCACACTTTATTGAGTGTAGAGAGAAGCGCCAGTTGACAACAATGTTTCCCATGTTTTCTTCTTCCTAAATTCAACACTGACAACACCAAAAGGCTTCTCAATATTCTATACAAGTCTAAGTAAAAAAGGCTTCTCAATATTCCATACAAGTGTGAGGAAAATTTCAACTTCCAAGCTATTCAAAGTTTGTTAGTGAGAGCAAGATACTTGGTATGAGAGCCCTTAGCTATAATTTTGCATGTCTTCTTCTTCCTTAACTCAACACTGGCAACACCAACAGCCTTCCCAACTCGTAAATCCTTGGTCTCAACTTCAACCTCCTCACCAGGGTAAGCAGAATTCAAGTATGAAACATTGATATCTACTGAAACTCCGGAGCTGGGAAGAAAAAAATAATTCTCTGCTCTACCTATTGAACATATTAATCTTTCTTAAGGATGCAACTTAGAAAAACATTAATACATATGTTAATGCAATATTAAATATAATTGAGTAGACTATCATACTGATTTTAAAAAATAATTCTTATCTTCCTATTTTGACATCTCAAATTCAAGTACCTGATTCAATCAAAGAGCTGAGAACTTGAGAGATCAATATAGGCAGATAGAAAACGGGTTAAAGATAATATGGCAGTGTGAATTGGGTTGAGGCAAGGCCAGCCGACAAGGAAGAGTCACACTATATGGAGCAAGCAATAAATTTTGAGTTTCCTACCAAAAGCATAGCATATTAAGTCTCTCATATAATCTATTAAGATATTATCAAGAGTTGAAAAGCTTACCTCGTCGACGTTGCCATCCTCTGTCATAGGGTTGAGAGAAAGCATAGCTTCAGTCAGCATATCTTCTAAATCATCTATGTAGAGAGATGGATGTTGAACATGGAAGGCCTTGGGTGTAATGGACTGCTAACGCATAACAGATAACTAAACTATCAATATAATCATAAATAACAAAACAAAACATATTTGTTTTAAGAAAAATAAAAATGGAGTAGAGAATTCATACGGTTGGTTTGCAGTTATTGGAGAGAGAGAGAGAGAGAGAGAGGTATGCATGAGAAAGAAGAGGGATTAGAGTACCAAATAAAAAAGGATACTACCATTTAAAGAGATTACGTTTCCTTAAAAAAGGGAGGAGAGAGAATTATTTTATTTTATTTTTATGAGAGAGAAAATAAAATTAATGATTGTTTATTTAAAACATTAAAACTATTTGTTTTGTTAGATTTAATCTCAACCATTAAAAGTGGAGTAATCTAATGGCCCAAAAATTGTGTCAAAACTTGTGTCAAAAATATGGTGCTACGGATCCGCCCCCATATATATATATATATATCATAGATTTGTTTATGTTTAAATCTATTAAAAGGATCGTACTATATTAACTCAATAAAAACTATAGACTCAATTAGAAGTCCGAAAATTAATATTTTGACCAGTACCTATCCATCTAATTCCTTTTAGAAGGATATGCCTTGCCTTCTAAATTTCTTAATAGTTGATAATTTTGAGGAGGAAAAATGTAGGATTTGGTGTGAAATTTTTTTGGCTTCATAACACATGCAACGTATAATTACACTTGGAAAAATTTTTACTTTGTAATTTTTGCAGTAAACAATAGCCGCACAACTCATAAATATATGATTACAACATGTGAGACATGAGATATGTAATGATAGAAATAAAGAGAAAGGTGTATGAAACATGGGATGGAATCGGCAATTTTTTTTCATGAGATGAAATCTCTAAATTTTTAGACTTGGGCCCAATCTCAACTTGGGTAACAACCAGCTAGGCCCGTGGACTTCAAAGTTACATTTTATCCCACTACCACCATTTCCCACTGTTTTCCCAGCTCCTCCCAAACCCCAGAAATTGGAAAAAAGAAGAACGAAAGTATGAGTAACACAAGCCTTGGTCTGTCCCTAAATCCGTTAATTCAGTTGAAAACCCCACCCAAATTTCGCGCCAGAAATTGCCGCACGAATTTCTCAGCAGTCTCAGCTCGTCTTGACAATTCCAAAAGCAGCTCAGCAGACCCACAACTCAATCTCTCCGTCCTCCGCTTCACACTAGGTATCTCTCTCTCTCTCTCTCTCTCTCAGATTGAGATTTTGAATGATGGGTTATTGGACGGTGCAGGAATACCTGGGCTTGACGAATCCTACTTACCCAGATGGATTGGATATGGGTTTGGTTCGCTTTTGATTTTGAACCATTTTGCTGGTTCCATTTCACCCGCCAGCACAACCCCAGCTCAGCTTGTAAGCGACCAAAACCATCTTCTACTGTGTTAACTTATATTTGCTTCACTTCTTGTTGGCTTTGTGTCAATTTTTGTGGGTTCGTTTGGTTTTCGGCTTTTTTGATTAGAGAACAGAGGCTTTGGGTCTATCTTTGGCTGCATTTTCCATAGCACTTCCCTATCTGGGAAGATTTCTCAAGGTAATTTTCAAGGCACTTAAAAAAAACTCCAATAGATTAATTAGATGTCAATAGCATCGGTTTTCAATGTAAAAAAAACTCATAAAAATGCAAAGTGCAGCTTAAAATCATAACCCCCATGAAGGTGAAGTTTGATTTGTAAGCCTCTTCTATGGTGCAAAAAATATAAACTACCAAGAACCCTTCACAGTCAATGACATTGATATTAGATAGGGTGGCAGGTATAAACTGTCTGCTCAGCATTTTGGTAAGCCTGATTATGTGGAATTATATTGCAGGGTGCTACTCCAATGGATCAAACTAGCATCCCACAAGGGTGTGAGCAAATATTTGTGATATCACAAAATGTCTCAGATACTCAGAAGGAGGACTTGGCTTGGGCTACGTACATCTTGTTGCGGAATACAAACACCATAGCCGTGGTACATATCAGGTTTTTATTAAATATTGGCACTAGACGCTAGTGATGAGAGTGAGAAGAAAAATCCATTTTAATTTGAATGACAATGCAACTTTTGTTTTGTTAGGTCAGAATCCAATTGAAAAAAAAGAAGTTATGTTCTTATAGTTTGGATATTTTGTTATAAGCTTTTCAAAAGTGGTTGTTGCTAATATTTCAGATAATATCAATTCGAAATGAATTATGCGTGCGCGGCTACTGGAACATACCAGATGATGTATCAAAAACCAATGTACTTGGTTGGTTTGAGAAACAGATTGAAAGCATTGGTCTTTCTGATTTGAAGGAAACCCTATACCTTTCTGAGATTGAAGGTAGCTATAACTTGATGTCTTCAGCTCTGTTTCTGAACATGATTGCCTTTACTTGGAATAGTATGAAATGTTTTATTGTCTCTGTTTCAGATTCTGGACTTTGGGAGATGCTACCACAGGGGACTCGTTCTCTCCTTGTACAACCAATTGTGCAAGTTCTGCCCTCAAGTGACAATGAGGTTCAAAAAAGTGAAGGATTTGTCTTGTTGGCTTCAAGCATGAGGTATGCATATAGTGATAAAGATAAAGCCTGGATCGGAGCTCTTGCAAACAAATTTAAAGGTAAGCGATAAAAGATAGAGCCTGTATAGGAGCTCTCACAAAAAACAAATAGAAAACTAAAAATAGAAGAAGAAGAAGAAACCCGGAGGTAAAAGCATATGTGCAGCTTTGTAAAGAATTGAACTTTTTATTATAAGGCAGCTTTTTTGGCTCAGTATGTTTATGCTGATGCATTTGAAATTTCGAAATAGGCATTAGTTTCGTAGATTGCCAATTGGCTCTCTTGGGATTCATATAAGATTAGCATGAGAACAAGTGCATAATTCTTCCCTGAAATGCTAACTACAGTAAAAGCATAAGCCATTTGAAGCAAATACTAAACTTTTATGAAGCAAATGTCTGGTAAAATGATCGTAAAAAGGCATATGAATTATGTGAATGTCTCCAATACAATAAGCAGATAAGAAGACATTTGCAGCTTCTAGATATAGGAATAGCAAATATTAGTCGGCCCATAGGAATATGGGCTTTGTTTGTGTTTTCTTCTATGTGTCTCGTTGTTTTTATGGGTTGGGTTTGTTTGGTCGTCTTTTGTTGCCTGTTACTTTTCCTTTGAGCCTTGAGGGCAAGTAAAAGGTTGCAGAAAAGCTAGCAATCTAAACTGAACTATAAGAAAATAAGTGATCAAAACTCCAACTTTGGCCAGCAACTGTTTTGCTTAACGAATCCAAACAACTTAGTTGGATCAGTTTTGTAAATACCACGAGGTGTCGCATCACCCAAAGGGTGGGATTACCCCGCTCAGGGTTCGGCTTGTCCTGGTCACAAAGTGCTTCCAACATTTATTTCTTCCTTTTATATTTGATATATTCTAATGGTTGGCAAATCATTAAATTCATAATTTATCAACGATTAACAGTCCCTCATGAATGCGCGGAGTCAACCTTACTTTCGGAGTGATCATTTATCACACTCAACCACTCAAGTCTCACCAATATGTTGCCCATACAATCACTCTAGGCTCCCACCATTTGACACTCAAATCATAATCAGTCACAATCTACAATGCAATTATTTTGACTATTTCAGAAAATTAATCACAGTGCAACCCTAGTTTAAAAAGAATTACTTGTTACATTATCCCAATTGGCAGTTGAACCAAATTTGAGTTAAAACTTTGATATCAAAGAAATTGTGCCACTTCAAAGATGGAAAGCAGAACATGACCTTATCAACATTAAGAAAAGGTTGGTTTGAAATTGAACTCTATCTTGGTTTCTGATGCAAGTCACTAATTATTTTATATTGTAAAACTCCCCTCACGCGTGGATCTCTTTTCATCAGTAAACACTACTACAATAATGTAAAAGTATAATACTAATTATACGACGTAACATCAAAAAATTGTCGTGGTGTTTTAAAGCACCACAGGTGTTCTATGACCATTGATCATGATAGTAGGGAGATACACTACAAAAAGTAACTTCTGTTGGGTTGATTTTGAGTGGCACGACGAATGTCAAGAAGGAACCGTTGTACATCTAAAATACGCTTTAAAAAAATGTCACTTAGTGTTTACTTTCTCTTCCCAAAATTTTACAATCCCCAAAAAAATCCGAGTTCCCGAAAGAATAGATGTTGGAGCATAAAATTTTGGAACCTCCAACAAGTAATCAATGTTGAGAAGCATGAGACCGTCTTCGCTTGCCATCAATGAGGGAAGAGGGAGGTACACACAAGAAAAAAAAACCTTTGACGCGTAAGTCAGTAGGAGTATAAGAAGATTGAAGTAGAGTTTAGAATAACATTGACCCTTTTTTCCCTCTGTGTTGATGGATTAATTGGCCTTTTATAGAAATTCGAGTCTTAGGCTTTAAGTTCCATGTTCAATGATTTTCATTATGATCCACAATTACTCCATCATGGGCATAGTAGTGAGGGATCATGTAGGCTCTGCCATGTGGCTTGAATGATGCTAGCCTTTGTTCATTGGCATAGAAAATGTTTGTCTTGGTAGGTCTTCGTTATCAAGTCCCATAAATGCCATGATTTCATTTATGTGTGTTCATGAATAGAAAATTGGAAAAACATGTTTTTTAAAAATAAATTATGGCTCCACTTCCCAAGTTTAGAGTGCCAGTGGAATAATTTCTTGAGGAGTAATTCTTGCTCTCACACCAAGGCCTATAAACTATGTTGCACCGATACTCCTAATTGGAGGGGTATGCTCATATATGATACTCCGATAATCGTACATGATATGCATATAGGCTATAAATCTGTACTTATGATCTGCAATTACTCTTTACCATGACATAGAATGTTGTTTATTAGTATTCCCAGAAGTTTAATTGGTTAGAGCTAAACCCTATGGTTGACCTGAATACCATCCCCAATTTGTTTTCTTGCAGCAAAATTGGTTTGGTTCTCATCTCAAATGTTACTACACGCACACATACAGAGCTCGACTTTTGGGTGAGCTCAATGAAAAGCTGTGGACATGTTGGTCCAAATTATAAATAAATTTAAAAAATAAATAAATAAACTGCTTTTAATACTAATAAAAACATTATTTCCCAATAATTGTGTTAATTTGGAACCTTTGGGTTTAGTGGCAAGTCCTTCTCTTCAACATTAAGAAATATGTTTATGGATAATCCAATCTCTTTATGTGTAGTGCTAGTTATTTTTAAAGCTCCAATTGGACATGACAGCCCCACCAACTTTTGAAGTAAACGATGCTTGTTTGATTAATTAGAGGAAAAATCATGTTAATCTTTAATTATGTGACATCAAATGAGAGTGTGTAACACGTCACATTATGCAGATATAGAATCAAATGGGGGTCCCTCTAAATTCTAAATTCTAAATTCCTAATCAAGGCAAATGCTCCACTATAATTGTATACAATTTCTCTCTCTCTCTCTCCTCCATGGTCAATGGGAAGCTTTAGGCTGCCAATGCCCGTGCCCCACGGCTACGGATTAAGATGGTAACTTTCCAAAGGAAGTCACATGAGTCATCAGAAAAAGGCAAATCTTCATGAACCTTTCAATGACCCAACCAAAACTTACATGGAATACTATGTGAGTGATTTCCATTTGGTTGACTGGGTCAACAACTCAGTCAATGGATTTACCACTTATAATCATGAATTACAAAAGTTAAAACTCACACACACATGGAATTATCCCAAGAATGAGGTCCATAAATGTGCAAATCTGTGGATCAGATTGAAGTCTTTTAGTTTGACTCGAATGATGTTTAGGTTGTGAGTGCGTAGCGTATTTGATTGTCCTGAAGAAGTCATATTTATTGATTTCAAAATTGAAAACTTTTTATATCAAACTTAAGAGGTTTTTGTGAAACTGTTCGTAAATTTTCAATGTTAAAAGATCAAGCCGAAGTCTTTGAGTTTGAATCAAAGGGATTTTGGTTGTGAAATCAAAGTTTATTTGATTGCCGTTAAGAGTTTTCAATTTCAAAACTGAAAATCTTCAAGGAAACCCAAAATTCCTTCTGATTTGGTCAGTAAATTTACCAATTTTCTTGACTGTTAAAAGATCAAACTGAAGTCTTTGAGTTTGACTCAAAGGGATTTCAGTTGCGAAGTTGAAGTTTATTTGACTACCGTGAAGAATTTTCAATTTCAAAATTGAAAATCTTCAAGGAAACCCAAAATTCCATCCAATTTGGTCAGTAAATTTACCAATTTTCTTGACTGTTAGGAGGGTATGTATGTGTAAGCTAGCATAGTAGCATTTGCACCAGTAAAATGAAATATGGTCCATAACTCACGGTAGGGGCTGGTTGCCCCTTCCTCACGGTTGGGTTTAAATCAATGTGGATGACTTAAAATAATATAATTTCCCCATCCAATTGAAACATTCCACTGTGCAAGATTATAATACAATTCGTACACCCCCCCCACTAGATTTTTTCAATAAAATTCAATTTGTAGTTGGGCTGCTAAAAGCTGTAAATTTAAAGCCAAAAAACAACCCAAAGTCTTCCCTTCTTTAAATCCCCATTAGTCATATATATATCCAATTATATTATCCCTCTCAAGCAAGGTCACTCTCTTTCTTCTCTGCATCTCTAAACACAAAAAGATGGGTGCTTGCTTTTCTTGCAAACCAAAACCTGCACTTCAAAATGTGAGAGTGGTTCATCTAAATGGCTATGTGGAGGACTTTGAGCATGCAATTTCTGTAGGTCAAGTCACAGGGAAGCCCACAAAGCACTTTGTCTGCACCCCAGCTCAGCTTCTCTCTACTGGGTCCAAGCCCTTAAAGCAGGACACTCTGCTTCAACCAGGGCAGGTCTATTTTCTGCTTCCATACTCAGCATTGCAGAGTGATGTTTCTCCTTTGGACTGGGCCTCCATATCCAGAAAGCTCACTGCAGCAGCAGCAAAAAGCAGGAGGTCTTCATGTGAGGCTAACAATAATTCTTCTCATTCTTCTCCTTTGGCTCCTTCTAGTCCTTTGATGATGGGCCAGTTTTGCTCAAGCCCTGTGTGGAGCTCTTCATCTTCACCAGGTAGAAGTCCTAGCAGGTTTTCTATGGAGCAGGAGAACATGGGCTCTCTGATGGATTATGGCTCTCAAAGGTCTTGTAGAGCTAGGTCATGGAAGCCACTTTTGGATACAATTACCGAGAAATCATTTAACAGGAGGACTGAATCAGATTTACAAGAGATGCATGTGGAGGCTGTGAAATAGATTGGGTTTGAATTTGATCAGGTACAGTAGTATATGTTGTAGTGGAAAGAGAGAGAAAGAGAAAAAAAAAAAAAAAAAACAGAAAACTCCATGCTTGGTTTTTTTGTGGTGGATATTGCTAGAGGATATTGGGATGGATGTAATGGGGATTTTCTTGTGGGAAAATGAAATGGAAAACTCTGTTGATTTTAGTTTTTCTGGTTTGGAAATATCAGCAGATGATGGCAACTGAAGATCATCAGATATTGATCTTCTTTTTTCCCACTTTGAATCTTTCAATTCTATTATTACATTGTGAGCTGACATCTAACTTTGAAGTGAAGCAAATGAATTTCTGGTCATTCTTTTCTCTCTCCTCCTTTGTTTTTGTTTTGGTTTTGGTTTCGTTCTTGCCCAAGAGTGATATAAGAAACATCTCAACTTGAGATATCAATGATTCTTCTGACAATTCTCTCATCAGAAATTTTCCTTTGAATTTGCAAGTTTTCAT